TACATACAAATGTCTTAATCCCACAAGTCATGAAATGTTCATACAGTCCTATGTAATGGCCAAATGTTATACTGCAACATCTGACCCCAAGGCTTACTTAAAGCCGGTGGGAAATCATCTTTCTCAAACCCTCATATTGTCAGGCATTAATGTAAGCTATGGCTGCAGTTTGCAGAAGCAGCAAATGCAGTTTCGATTTAAGGTCCAAAGCCCTTAACCCCTGACATTTCAGGAATTCTGTTTGCAAAACCGTACCTGTCTTTGTAAGTTTGAGAATATCAGTAGTCTATATCAGAAAGCTTTGTAATTACTTCTTTATATTTTATCCATCCAAACAGAAGTATCAAGCCTCATAAAAGCTCTTCTTTGTTTTGTCCCATTATTTTGATCAATTTCAAATCAGTAAGCCAGCGCACCGTTCAGAAATGCATTTACTAGGGTCGGTTCAGTTACTGGCAACAATGAGGAGCATTAAAAGCAATCATTTTTTTCTTTCAATGCCATTATATCTGTAAATGTGGCTAGAGACATTATTAAAGTGACCGCTTTTTCTTTCCAACAGTAGACACTATTGTAGTGAAATCTCTTTCTATCATATTTTCATTTGACAGAAGTGCTTTTGGAAAGGTTGATTGAGAAATTATTTAGACAAAAAATGTAATTATGTTGGTCTAGCTTGAAATAATGAAGTCAGGATGAAACTTCTGTAGTTCAGCTCTTGTGACCATGGTTCTACTATAGTAAAAAAGCAGTATTGGTGAGGGAACTCATGTGCAGTATGTACAGTGCAAAAATGCTCATGGAGATTACAATATTTTATCATCTTTTTTTTTACGTTCCAGTTTCAAAGTTTAAATCACTCCTTTAATCTAATTGGTCAAAGAATTTGCAAAAAGCTCTGAAATTGTTCACAATTTCATTCATGCACTAAATCGTTTGCAACGTCTTCTCAAACTGAAATAGCAAAGGGATATTTTATAAATTGAAAACAAAAAAAGGCACTAGATGAGATGGATATATAATCCACTAGAAAACAAAACTTGCATATGTCTTCTATTGTTTGTCAACAACGAAGCAGGTCTTTATTTATTGCCCCGGTATTAATGAAAAGCTACAATTTAGAAAACGATCGCTACAATCGGAATTTATAATTGTATGTTGTAAAAAATAAATGCTTTATCAAAATGTATTCCTTTGCTTCACATCTGAAATTACTTTCCTTTCTGGGTGAAGTTGTATACAGGCAGCAAGTGCTATTGCAAAAAAAAAAAAAAAAAAAAATTATATAATATATATATAAACAATGCAGTTGTCTATTGTGGCACAAGAGGCATCTATTTTAGTAGTTTACTGTACATGAAATGTGTGTACGAGGGTAAAGTGCGCTGATGGAGGTAGATCTTTAGGAATCCAGTTCTGATTTTGTCATTAGGGAAGAAGGAATTGCAGAGGAAATGAAAAGGGTCCTAGGACATATCTTCATGGAATGCCAGACAGTATGCCTGAGTTTAATCACTGGAAAAATTCTCTCTTTCTTGCTTCTCTCTCCATGTCAGGTGTGTTTCATATCCGGCCACCTGACTTTTTTTGTTGTTGTATGATCTATATCCATGTTGTTGAAGCATCACAGAAACACCAGATTTATTCTGATTCTGAAGAAAGAAGTTGCTTGCATTTATAAAATTATAAAAATGGGATTGTCATTAACCATCTATGTGCTAATGACTGTATATTTGGAAAAGTGTTGTTAAAATACAAAAAATATCAAAATAAGTTTTCAACTAAGGGTATGTCCTCCTGCACATTAAGCTTTAGTGCTAATTTAAGTGAGATATATATATATATATATAGACTCAATAGGCTAGACTCGTCTCAACCTACTATTTTTCTAGTTAAATATTCAGTTTTATTCTGAAATATGACACATTTTCTATGTAAGATGTGTACAGTATGCTGATTCATGCATGATAACATCAATCTAACCATGTTGACATATATATGGTTTTACCTGTGGTTACTTTACAAATATAGCAGTTGATTACTGTGGTTATTGTGCAAAAACTATATTTTTATAAGAGGGAATGGTGATATTACTACGATTATGGTTACTGTGGTTCAGGTAAATAGATTAGTTGGCCCTATTTTACTTTACCCAAACTTTGATTTGTTGTTCCAAATGTAGGTTGGTTTTCTCACAGTCTTCACATCTTCTCATTTTCCACACAGCCAGCCAGTATCATGCCAAGTTTTATTAATACTGATGACAGAAAGATTCAAATCCATATTGCTCTCTTTCATTGGCTTTGAGACAGAATTTGTAATAAGTGCTAGGTATACATTCCTTTCATCCTCTTCTGCTCTACATGCCACATTTACCTCTGAGTTTCCAGGTCATACAAAAACCTTGCATCAGAGAGAATCCAAAATATATGTGGAGCATTTGCACAAAAAACAAATAAGAGTTTTCTTGTATTATATTCATGTTTTTCATTTATAATAACACCTCATTTTGATTTATTTTTTCCACGCTTAAGCAAATAATTTCAAACTGAGATTATTTTAGTGTAGCATGTGAAGAGTTCTTTTGCAAAAGCAGATAACTCAGTTTTTAACAATTCTCAGAAATCATGTTTTTTCATTGTGCATTCCAATTAATCTCAATCAAACTGCAGTTGGGTTATTTTGATTGGGTTAAAAAATAACTAAAAATTACAGCTAACTAACACAATAAAACACAATAAAAACATGATTACATAATAAAAAAAACATGATTTTTTAAAATTTAACAAAATGGAGTTATCTATTTTTGCAAATGAACTCTTCATATATACAGTAAAACCTGGAATATGGTGGTGATAATAGTTACTTAAAACAGCAGATCTTTTTTTTTTTCTTTAGGAACAAAATCTTACATTGGTGATTAAATAGGTAATGGTATTTTAATTTTTTTCCCACATTTATCACAGATTTGTTCATGCTCTCCACATCCCTGTCAAAACAGACCTGCCAGCTGAGGACAAGAACTATATATGTCTTTCTCTGCCACATTTAGCCCTAGAAACAAGATTTGTGGAGCATGAGGTGTCTGCCACTAAATGAAAGGCAAAGTGTGAATTACTTTCTGACCATAACATCGACTCCAGCTGTTTAATGGCACAGTTTAGTTTAAATGTCTTGACTTGGAGCCATATTGAGTGCTGCCATAGTGAGTGCATACACACGCACATCAATATCAACACACATGAGAATCAAAACCTTGTATGTCTTGAAACATGCCAGTGTTACTGTATATATTTTATACTAGAGTATTTTGTCATGGCATTACATACACATTTCATAGAAACTGTGTAGTGTAATGCTAAATAGAGCGCAACAGGAGGGCTCTGCAACATTTACATTCATGCATCTGACAGACATTTTTATGTAAGGAAACTTACAGCGCATAGATATACATCATTATCAGTTGCATTCCCTGAGAATAAAACCCACAATATTGGAATGTCCAATGCCATGCTCTACTGTTTGAGCTATAGAAACACAGAAGAAGAAAAAAATAAGAAAAAAATCCATTCACTGCCATAGAGAGATGTTTTCAACCATATAAAACTGAAGAACAGAGCTACAATGACCTCCAGGTTTCTTAAATGGTATTATGTGTCTGTTAAAGCAACATACATAAAAGTATATTTATTACATATTTATATTATTCATTTACAGCTTGATTTCTTCCTTTGTTGGCATTGAGACAAGGTTTTGATGACCACAAAGCATAATTAAAAAGTTCCTTTATGAACCAGAAAACAGTCAATCAAAAGAAAAGCTTGAAATATTGTAAATACCATAAAATACAGTTCTGTATTTCAGAAAATAATAATAATAATAATAACAACAACAACAATTTGATTCTTCATAAATCATTCTAACATAATGATATGGTGCTCAAGAAACAGTTTGTTTTCTTCTTCGTATTCTTATTCTTATTATTCTTATTCTTATTCTTATTATTAATATTGAAAATATCTGGTTCCCTGAGAAGAGAATGAGACAGTGCATCATAGTGTTGCTTCTATGGGGAAGCTTTGCGTGAGCCAGTTGTCTGAAGCATGTGTGGAAACATGCCAATCTTAATTAGCTAAAGCAGTCAAATGTCCTCACTGGGTGTGCTAGCATGCTATAAAGAGTGCCTAAATAAAGCATCAGCAATGTTGAATCATCTGAAGAAAGACGTGCAAGCATGTCTAAAGTATGGCAACATGACACAGCGTCTTGTTCCCTTCTCGGGGAACCCGGGTGAAGATATGTAACCCTGAGATGTTCCCTTTCAAGGGAACTTATCTTGCTTTATGATGTTGATGTTATGGGACTGTTAATACCCACTATGCCATACTGAATAAATGCCTTCTTGCCAGCTGTGAGAACAAACTGTAGTAAACCAGGTTGTAACCAGGGGCTACCAAACAGACGCATACCGAATGATCAAAAGTGTTTAGCGTTTAGAGGCACAGGACATTTCATAGCTCAATTCCCCTCAATACTTACCTGGAAGGGATGCTCCCACAACCAGATTGGTCCTAAAACTAAAATTTGTAGGTAATCTTCCAAAGAAGAATCTCTGCAATCTGCCCTATTCCTGGATCTGTCATCAGCATGGCTGATGCAGGTCCCAATATTTCCCTTCCAAAAGGAGATGCCAGGTCTCTCTACCTGCCAGAGAGGGCAAACACACACATCAGTTCTGTTTACCTCTTGTGCCCCAAGAAATAGACAGGGTTTGGGGGGGTAGAAAACCCAAGAAGGATCTCAAAGCTTTGAGCCCTCAGGCTTGCGAGCAAAGTTGAATTCCCAGAGAACCCTCTTAGGTTTCCTGCGTGCATGCCACCTCAATCCCCGACTACTCAAAGGGGGAGAGCAGGCAGTCCATGCTTGCCTTCTGACCCTCCCTCCAAGACCAGGAACCAGGTGCCAGTTCAGAAGGTTTTATGAGGCTGGAGGACCCTGACCGTGACGAGGAATGAACTTCTCAACTACTGCTGACTAAACCTTTGCCTCTCTGAACCTATGGACTAACGTATGAAATGGAAGGCTCATGAGGGTGGACCACTGATGACCTGTCAGGAATTACTCATTTAGTCTGCCTGGAGCAATTGCTTGTTTCTCCACCAGCCAGTCTAGTCTAGCTGTGGCACAGGTCATCACCGCAACCAACTCCTTTTTGGGGCTGAGAGAGGAGACAGGTTCAGCGAGCTCATAGCTAACGGGTAAAAGCTGAGAAAGGGATATACCAGTCTCAAGCTCCTCTGCCAGCTCTACCTGTGATCCCCACAATCAAAGTCGATGCGCTCCCTCAGCAGCCATGGGACCTGAACCGGAAGGTGCAAAAAGAGCCAGGCAGGAGTGGAACTTCCTCCCTGCATAATTTATGTGTATACACTTTTTTCTCTCTTATTTCAGGCTTTACAGGGTGAAAAAAGGTGTTTAAATACGACACTACCCACACTCATGAATAAATTTGCAGGGTTGTGGGACAAAATCAAAAGGGTGGTATAGACCCATTTACCCATTTTAATCCCAGGTGTCAATCCCAAATGTACAGTTTTATTACCTCGTAAAAAAAGACGTCAAACGCAGTATTACTGTAGTTTCTTTTTCTTTTTTTTTCAGATTTTAAAACTGCAGTCCGTAACTTTTTTTGTTAAAAATTATCCAAAATCAATATTTGAGCAAGTACATAACCAGCCAGTGTTCAAAACTATCACCTTACTTTAGCCCAAATCACAATGGTTATCTTATAATAATGTTTTATAATTTGAGTGGTACTGGTAGGAATTTGCGGGAAATTCAAGCATGCTGTCATTCGAGCTGTCATTACGTCACGTCTGTAAACATAAAGAAGGAGTCCCGGCTAGTAGGCTATATCGCATGTGAGGATGCTGCAGGTAGCAGATTGTTTATAGCCTTTTCTCACAGCAGCTGGAATAATCAAATTTATCATTTTGATGGTGGATTGTAATCCAGAAAGGATTATGTGTTTATGAAACATGTGACTGAAATTAAATTATATTCCAGTTTTATCTGATTACAGATAGCCTGGGATTACACAGGATTCGTATTTTAAAGAGAACCAGTTCAAAGGAAGAATTATTTGCTTTTTGGGTTAAAATAATTTCTTAATATGAAATTTGAATGATATGACAATTAGAGATTAGACTGCACAGCAATTGAAATCTACACAGTAATTCACACTATATACACATAGTCACGCAATGCTGATGTTGTTAACATTAACAATTTGAGAACAAAGTATAACAATAATAATAATTTCCATGGTTTAATGTGATGTAAGCTAACAGATCGTTAGATTTAATCACCATTGGTAGCACGATTTATTGTAATGCTTTTTTCCTCAGTTGGTCAGAACAAACGTGGCAGACTTGTTACTTGTTCAGATGACAATATCCGGTGAAAATTCTTATTTGGGTAATTTATTCCAAGACATTGGCTAGAATCTGTGATTCCTAAATAAAGTATTCACACTGGTGCGGTGACTGACAGCCACACATACTCCTCAAAACATTAGATTCATCCACGCTGGAGCCGTGCCGGTGCACAACAAACGTAATGAAAATAATTCCACAAGTAACTGCAATTTAAAGTTTTCAAACAGAGATGGCGACAAAGAGGCAAAACGTATGGACTGCAGCTTTAAACACTTTGTTGCTTTATATTAACATTTGTAATGTTTTGATTCATCTCAGAGCTGGCTGGTTTGATTTACGGCTCTTTATTGAAAACTTTTTGGAAATCCCTATGGAGAAATGAACAACAACAACAAAAAAAAAACGTACAAAATCAAGGCAGCTGAAAAATAAATGAATGGTCACTGTATAGTAGGGCCATATTTCTAGCAATTTACAGTGTGCCCAAGCTTATCTGTCTTGCAACACTGTTGCAACTCACATGCATTAGCTCTGTTTCACTTTAATGGCCTGACACAGAGGCACAAACAGGCTGTATGAGAAAATATGGCTCTTAGTAATAGGGTCATAACCAAGCACAGCTTCCCTATTCTCTCTGCTCAAATTAGGCACACTGTGATAGCAGGTTAAAAAAATACAGGAGGAGAGTGAGAGCGTCCCAGATGACTCTCATGAAATAAAACGTGCGTGTAATGAGGATATTGCATATTCATCTCACAGGTTTGTCAGTGTAAGCCAGCAGATAAGGTGGCGTTATCACCGTGCAGCAATAGCAACCTGTGTCAAGGTCTTTTTGAGAAGTCATTTATAACCTGCCAAACGCTGCCTCCGTCTGCAGTGTTTGCAAGTGGACCAGGTCATGAAACAGGGTAGCCCGACTGCCCGGTGTTCCCTACTAATTTGGATTTCACCTACAGGGGATGTGTGTGTGCCCCTGTAGTATTAATATTTGGACAAGTGGCATTACAACTTTGTATAACGATCTGACAGACGGAGGGTATGACGCAAACTAATGCAATGATTTGTGACTTTTTTCATGTAAACCATGCCTCTCTTTATTATGGCACCAATTTGTTGGTTCAGTACAGCACTGACAGATTGATACGAGTATTAAGACTTAATTAAAGTGGGCCTGGGGGGCTAAAACTATAGCATTTGCCAAACAAACAAAACTTACAACTTACAACATACTGAAAGAAAATGTGACGTGGAGTTGTTAATACATACTACATTAAATGACAAAGACAAATCTATTTCATCTTCTAGCAGGCATCTATAGGTTTAATCAAGGGTGGATTATAAACCAGGGCAATGTGGCTAGTGCCTGGGGCCTCTAATGGCACTTTTCCACTGCGTGGTACGACTCGGCTCGGCACGGCTCAGTACGGTACGTCACGGCTCGGCTCGGTTTGCGTTTCCACTGCAGTTCAGTGCCGCTTTAGAGTGGGCAGGATTATCCACATGTCGTTATAGTTGTGCCACCTCTATTGCCACGACTCCTGAAAAACTTTTTCATTCCGCGTCCCCCCATCAAGCTCACTGGATCCACTCCTCTGCTATCAACGAAAGGAACGTCTGTACTTCCTCAACAGACAACGAAACAGCCACTTTTTGGTTGTTAAAAAAGGTGCACTTGTTCAAAACAGTTGCGTTCGATCTTTCGCTGGCTGTGCTGATTTAAATCTAGCGGTTCTGTTGTGTTTGTGTCGCAAGTTCAGTGATGCAGGTAGTGACGATTCTCTCCAGCCAATCCGTGATCAGCAGAGTTTACACGTCACGTTTTGGTAACGGTACGGTTCACTTGGAATCTCAACCGAGGTGGTACTAAAAAAAGTACCAGGTACCAGGTACTGTACCCAGTGGAAAACCCCCCAAAAGTGAACCGTACCGAGCCGTACCGTGCCGTACCATGCAGTGGAAAAGCGCCATAAGTGTTAAGAACCTTCAGAGAGAGGGCTTCCCTGGCCCCAAATAAGCTATTAAAACTGCAGATTTAAACTGAGTTAGATGTGCGAAAAAGAAAAAACAAACACTTAAAAATGGGTGATTCTTCTTGAGCCTGTATGGATCAGTTGTCACACTTTATAATCCATATCCATTACTATTGTTTCCAGTTGTTTTTATTAATATTTACCATCTTCTTTGAAGAGATCAGTCTTAAAGTGGCCATATTATACTTTTTTTTTTTTTTTTGCTTATTACCTTTCATGTAGATCAAAGTGCATAATTAATAATGTTATTGACTCCCAAAAGAAATAAATAAATTCTGAACTGATTCTGAATTTCTGAAAAGGAGTCATCAGAAATTCCAGTCTCACTTCCATAACCTATCTATGTAGCTAAGTACAAATTTGCATAATGCTAGCCTGTGGTTTTCTTTGGCTGCCCGCGAACAATCAGTACATTTACATTGACAACAATACTCCGATTGTATTACGATTAAGACAATACTCTGATTAAGAATCTACCATGTAAAGAGAGATTTTTGATTACCTTAATCCGTCTAAAGTCATAATCGAAGTAAACACTAATCGAATTAAGACATGTGGAGTATTCCTATTTTAGTCGCATTACTGAAGTGCAGAATAGACACGTAAACACCTTAATCACACTATTACCGTCATTTTTGCGACAAGATACACACACGGCAGTGGTCAACCGTTTGACAGCAAAAAAAAAAAGCTTCAACACCTCCATCGTCTGTATGCATGTACTAATAATTAACTGCACTTGAAGCTTTCATAAAATTAAAAATTAAACACCCAAAACTGTACATGGCATCATCACGAAGACAAACTATAGGTTTATACATGAAATTCCGGAGGGAACGTCGGATGGCGTCACATGGGGACGTAATGACGTGTGCCATAATCTAACTATGTACTATAACATGTAAAACAGGAACATGAAAGGAATATTCTAAAAGCCACTCATGTAAACACCTGAGAAGACGCTGTTTTCTGCGTTGCAAAAGCAGACTGTCTTTGTATGCACTTCCAAAGGATGAGGATGCAAAGAGTCAGTGGTTAAAATTACCACAGTGATACCACAGCAGTATAAACTTTTGTTGTGTTCCCCCTCAGTGTATTGACACCTGCTTTCTACTGAGTTGTGAAAAATACATAGTTTTGTGTTTTATATTGTGTACACCCAGTGCACAGGTCTCTGGCTAACCAGCTAACTCACGTTAGTACTTTTTTACTGAAATAGTTGTTTTTTGTTTTTTATTATTTTTTTAAGTTCTGGGCCTGCTATTACCTTAAACTGTGTCAGTTAATGCAGGTTGTCTGTTCTTCTTACTACCTTGAGTAATGTTGATCAGTCACTCACATTAGCGCTCGGCTAACATACATACCGTTATTGATATAGTTCCCACGTGTGCAGCTCAATAAATGAGAAATGTACACATCGGTTCGTTGATGCTGATGTAGAGGAATTACACAGTTACAACATCTCACAATGTACAACAAAGTGAGTAAAAACCTAATCACTGAGAAACATCCTTGCGATTGAGGTTCGGGTTGATCAGCTAGTTC